TCTTGTTGAGGTACTGGAGTATTCTATAAATTCTATATATAAGTTCCTTATCAGACATGTGATTATCAAAATTTTTTTCCCAGTCTGTGGCTTTCCTTTTTTACCCTGTTGTAGTTTTTTTTAATGTGCATAGTGACTTTATTCTTAGAAGGTCCCATTCATTTATTTTATTCTCTCCTGATTATAAGTGAGAAATCTTATTTCAATTCAAAAATGAAAGAATTCTTTTGCAGGGCTCTGCTGGGTATTTCATACCTGGGATATGATGTTTGCTTTGATATTCTGAAGTTTTAGTAATTGTTCTTACAGTGTGCTGTGAGTTAATTCTGATTCATACTGACCCAGTCTTATAGGGTTAGAAAGGTTGTAATATTTCCCCTATCTTGGTCCAAGGTAGCATTTATTGTTGTTTCAGGACTATAGCAACCCAGGGAACAACAGGTTGGAACCTTATCCCTCTCCTACTCCATCATTACAGTCTCTGCCAGGTTCAAAGTCCAATTGTTGTTATCACTTTGTCAGTCCATTTCAATAAAGATCTTCCTCTCTTTTGCTGACCTTTCTCACCATGAAACCTTTGGGTTGGTTCCAAGAGTCAACCTTTTGTTTAGCAATCTAGTACTTGAGCACAGTATCCATGGGGGAGATATATCTATATATCTATGTATCTATCTATCTATCTATCTATCTATCTATCTATCTATATCTATATTTATATATATAGATATCAATTAGTTGTAGAGTTAATAGAAAATAGAGGTAGGGAACTCTAATGGTCTACTAGTAAAAAGCTGTGCTGCAACAGTAGACCAGTTTAAAACAGTGGCAAGATACAAGAGCAGTATCCAAAACTCAACAAGATTCTTCTGCTGTAACTAAGAGACAGAAACCAAGAAAGCAATACCATTTACAATAGCCAACCACAGATTGAGATACTTGGGAGTAAACCTAACTAGAGACACAAAAGGCCTATGAAAAGAAAACTACAAAGCATTTCTATGAGATGCAATAAAATACGTAAATAAATGGGAAAAGGTGTCCTGTTCATGGATAGGAAGACAGAATATTGTAAAAATGACCATCCTACCAAAAGCAATCTATATGTTCAATGCAATCCTAATACAGATACCAAATTCATTTTTCAAGGGAATTGTTACGTTTATTTGGAGAGGAAAGATAACCCGAATAAGCAGACATTTTTTTTTTTTTTAGCAGACACTTCTTAAAAACAAAAATGAAATGGGAGGCACAGCACTCCCAGACCTCACATTTCCCCTTCGTAAAGCTTGCTTTTTGTTTGGTATCCATCTTTTATTTTCAGTCAACATTTTATCTTTATATTTTAATTGCATCTCTTACCTGTGTCATGGTTTTTGGTCTTATAAATCTGGCAATCTGGAGTGTCTACTCAATTTATCGTGGATATGTTTATTGATATGGTTGAATGATGTTGTTGGGTGCCGTCAAGTTGGCTATGACTCACACAATTCTATGAACAAGAGATCTGAACTTACCCAATCCTAGGACATCCTTATAAACTGTCTTGCTCAAGTCAATGTGTTAATCTATCTAGTTGAGGGTCTTCCTCTCTTTTGCTGGCCCTCAACCTTTCTCAATATGATATCTCTCCAAGGACTGTTTCCTTCTGAAAATATGTTCAAAACAAGTAATATGAAGGTTTACTACCTTTGCTTCTAAATAGTATTCTGTTTGTCCTTCCTTCAAAACAGACTTGTATGCAGTTTTGGCAGTCCATGGTATATTCAATACTTACCTCAACTTTTAATTCAGTATAACTTCAAGTTTTACCACAACCAAAAGGCATCTCTTCTGTCCTCTATATTAATTGTCCATCTTTAGATGCAGTGAAACAATAAGAGATGTCATGTCTGGGATCAAGTGCATGTTAGTTTTTAAACTGGCACCATTGCTCGTTAGAATTTTGGAGGAGTCTTTGAAAACAGATTTTGCCAATGAAACAAATTTTTGACTAGTATTACCATTGGCGTTAATTATTGATCCAAGTACAAGAAGTTATTGACAACTTCAATCTTTTTTTGCATCTGTCATGTTGTGGTTCAGCAGTAAGAATTTTTTTTATTGTTGGTGAGAAATAACTTATATATTGAAGGGTGTATGTAGTCTGATATTCTGCAGTAAGTGCTTCAAGTCTCTTTCACTTTCTGCAAGCAAGGTTGTGTCTTATGGATAATGGAGATCATTAATGAGTGATCTTCCAATTTTGACATATTGTCCAGCTTCTTGTATGATTTATTTAACATGCAGATTGAATAAGTATAGATAAAGATAATAATGGTGACACACAGCTTTTCTGATTTTAAACTTAATGGTATTCCCTTGTTTTGTAGTTGGACAGCTTCGTTTTGGTCTGTGAATAGATTTCGCATGAGTACACTTAAGTATTCTGGGATGCCCATTCTTCTCAGTGTTAACTGTAATTTGTTATGATCCACACAGTGAAATTCCTTTGCCTAGTCATTAAAGCACAAGTAAACCTCTTTCTGTTACTGCTTTCATCCAAGAATCATCTTACATCAGTAATGGTATGTCTGTTGCCATATCATCTTCTGAATCCAGTTTGAACTTGTGGCAGTTTTTAGCAAGATTTTCCTTTCATATGATATTGCTAAATAATTTCCACCTTCTTGGATCACTGTTTTGGGGTTGGGAAAAAATAGGAATCTTTTCTGGTCATTTGGCCAGCTAATTGTTTTCCATATTTATTTGTAGACACTAGTGAGCATGTGTAAGATGGCATCTGTTACTGAAAGACATCAATTCTTTAGGCCTTATTTTTTGCCTGTGTCTTCAGTATGCCTTAAGTGACTTCTTTTCTTCAACAATACTATGTCTTCATCATATGCTACTTCATGAAATGATTCATTATAAACCAATTTTTCTTGCAACAGTCAGTGATAGTGCATTTCTTCCATCTTCTTTTACTGCTGCCTTTGTATTCTTTCTTATATTCTTTGTATGTATCATATTTTCCAGAGGAAACATAAGCCTAATTTTCTCAAAAATCTTAAGATTTCTTCTGAAATATGTTTTTGTTGGTATTGTTAGGTGCCATCAAGTCAAGTACAACTCATAGTGACCCTATGAAAAAAAGATCTGAGCCTTGTTCTATCTGATGCCATCCTCACACTTTCTGATATTTTAGAGTCCATTGCAGCATTCACTGTTTCAGTCTACCTAGTTGAGGGTCGTCTTCTCCTTCACCTACCCTTCACACTTAACCTTCCTATGTCCTTCTCCAAAGTATAGCCCCTCCTAGGAACACACACAAAGTATGTGAGGTGAAACCTCATCACTCTGGCTTCCAAATAGTACTTACTGATGTTGAATCATGGTTGAAACTATTTGCTTGAGGTTCACTTAGCTAGTTTTGTCTTTCTACCTAATCTTAATCTCTCTACTCTTTTGCATTCACCAGTCATTATGATACAGAAAGATGGACAATATCCTTCTGTGGGATTTATATCTTCCAAAATCGCATAGGAGGGTCAAGCTGTGGGACAGTTATGGCTTGACAATGAGTTTGTGGTCATCGTTCCCACTGCTTTGTTTGATTTCTTTAAGGTTAATTGAAGGCTGATACCTAAGGTTGTTGAGATCCAGTGTATTTAAAATCTTAAAAGTGTTTGTGGAAGATATTTTATGTACCAGAAATAACATCTTTTAAAATTCTAATTGAACAGCTTTTTTTTTTTTAACTTCATTAAACTTTGTTAATTGTTTTTAGCATGTAGTTTGGGAACTTGAGAAGCATTTCCAGGAAGATTATACTAGCTTCATTAATGTTATCAAATAAAATTATGCCCTCTATGTATGTATGTAAGTTTTTCTGTTTAACTACTTGTCTTTGACACATTCTTAAAAGGACCTCTGATGTCCTTAGTGGGTAGGGAGTCATATTGCCAATCTAAGGGTAGGCAATTCTAATCCACCAGCTGCTTCAAGGGAGTAAGATGATTAATTTGCACCCATGTGATTTTATTGAAAATCTGCTGAAGGGCTACTTATGAGGTAGTTTTTATTCAACTTCAGTGAGTTGAGTTGTTATATCTTTTTAATAGAAAAGTTAGTTTTAGTGGAGCTCTGGTGGCCTAGTGACAAGGAGCTACAACTACAATCCCAGAGGTGCACGGTTCCAATCTACCAGATGCTCTGCCGGGGAGGGAGGGACAGTCTCCTCCTGTAACAGTCAGATCTGATTTGACGGTACACTCACTCAAAAATAATAAAAATTTAAAAAAGAAAAGTTAGTTTTACTAGTATTAGATTCTTGAGCTGTAGTGTTAAGGAAACAATCAGTAATGGAATAGTACTTATTTTATTATTATTAGTTTGCCTAGAAAGTTTATATACATTATGTTTCACACAAGTCTTCATTCACATTGTGTTTCATGCATTCTTTCTCGTGCATTATGTTTTATAAAATTAATCACCTTTGGACATTGGACCTTACCCATCACTGCCCTGTCTTTTCGCCCATTTGCTTCTCCTTTTCCCTCCACCCACCAAACTTTGCAGCCCTGTGATTTCACTCCTATCTATCCTTTACCCCTTCACTGCCCCCTCCTTCCCTTGAGTTCCTATACATATTTTACTAGTTAACCTTCTATTATTACAATCATGGTCTTAGGTAGTATGTGTCCTTACGAGACTGAGATAGTTCACTCAGCATAATGCTCTCCAGTCTCTCCCAAGGTATGTAATACTTTTCAAAATCGTTGCTTCTGAGTGCTGCATAGTAGTACTTTTGAATATTACTTGTGGGAGATTTTTTAAATAACTCTATGTGATGTATAAATTTAATATGTGAGCTAGTTCTTTGGAATTCCTTTTAGTTTCTAGTTTTCTTCTTTATTTGAAAAGTTCATTCAAATCAGCATCAGCAATGCATTGTTATAAAATTAAGCCTGTTTATAGTTAAAGATGAAATTGTCATTTTCTTATAAATTTCTGTTCTATAGAGGAAGTACCATTCTGCAAAGGAAGCTTATGAAAAACTTTTGCAAACAGAAAATCTTTCTGCACATGTAAAAGCTACTATCTTACAACAGTTAGGTAAGTAATAATATACACTTAGTGTATTGTGTTTTTCTTATAACAAATGACAAATAATGTAGCTTACGTGTTCTATTCCTTTTTATGCCTTTGTGTAGAGCTGATAGAGTACATCTGAACTAATCATATTTCCACTCCCTCTAGAGCATGATCTATCTCAATGACCATCTCAGTATAATTTTTCATGCAATTGATCAGTTGTTACGAAGTTGATTCTACTTTTTCCAAATCACATGTGTGTCAGTAGAGCTGTGTTCCTTTTTAGCGACTTATTTAGGAGAATTAGCACCTTTCTTCTGAGTGGATTTTTGCCTTCAACCTTTTGGTTAGCAACTGACGAAATTAACTAGTTTGTTCATCCAGGGACTCCTTAGTGCAAACTAAACATAAACATGCTGCCTTTGAGTCAATTTTGACTCATGGTAACTTTCTGTTGAGTTTATGAGTCTGTAAATCTTTATAGAAAGCAACTACCTCATTTTCCTCCTGGAAAGTTGCTGGTTAATATGACCTGTTATATACTTGGATTTCACCTGATGGTATGCATAGGAATCAGATCAATTACATCTATGGAAACAACTGCTGGAGAAGCTCAATATCAGCTGTGAAAACTAGGCCAGGAGCTGACTGTGGAACAGACCACCAACTACTCATATGCAAGTTCAAGCTGAAGTTGGGGAAAATTAAACCAAATACAAGGCAACCAAAATATGACTTTGAGTCTATCCCACCTGAATTTCAGAACCAGCTCAGGAACAGGTTTGAGGCCTTGAACACTAATGAGCTTGAACACCAGATGAGTTGTGGGAGGATATCAAGGGTATCATCCAGGAAGAGTGCAAACAGTCCTTGCAAAGACAGAAGAGGAAGAGAAGACCAAAATGGATGTCAGAAGTGACTCTGAAAATTGCACTGGAGCACAGAGAAGCCAAAGGACAAGGAAGAATTCAAGATAATAAAGAGTTGAATAGAAGATTTCAAAAGGCACCATGGGATGACAAAGTAAAATATTACAATGAAATGTGCAGGGAGTTGGAGTCAGAAGGGCCAAACTCGTTCAACATTTCTTAAGCTCAAGGAACTGAAGAACAAACTCGAACCTCAAGTTGCTATAATCAAGGATGCTATAGGCAGAATATTAAATGATCCAGGAAGTATTAAAAGAAGATGGAAAGAATATATTGAATCACTGTAGTGAAAGGAATTGGCAGACACAGAAGAATTTCATGAAACAACATATTAGCAAGAGCCTATGGTGATGAAAGAAGTTCAGCCTGGTTTGAAGGAAATGGCAAAAATTAAGGCTCCAGGAATAGATGGTATACCAATTGAAGTATTTCAGATAACAGATGTTGCCCTGGATGTGCTCACCAAGATATGCCAAGAAATCTGGAGAACCACTTGGCGAACTAACTGGAAGAGATCTATATTTGTTCCCATCCCAAAGAAAGGTGACCCAACAGAGTGTGGAAACTATAGAACAATCTCATTGATTTCACATGCAAGCAAGATTCTACTGAAAATTATCCAAAAACGACTGGAACAGCACATCAGCAGAGAACTGCCAGAAGTTCAGGCTGGGTTTAAAAGGGGTCGTGGTACTAAGGTAGCTGATGTTAGATGGATCTTAGCTGAAAGCAAGGAATATGACTATGCAAAGGCGTTTGACTGTGTGGATCATAACAAACTGTGCCTGACTCTGAGAAGAATGAGAATTCCAGAACACTTGATCATGCTAATGAGAAACCTATACTTGGACCAGGAGGCAGTGGTCATAACAGAGCAGGGGAATACTGCATGGTTCAAAATTGGGAAGGGCAGCCAGGGATGCGTCTTATCTCCATACCTTTTCAACCTATATGCAGAACAGATTATCTGTAAAGCTGGGCTCTATGAGGAGAAATGTGGGGTCAAGATTGGTGGATGATCTATCAACAATCTGTGTTATGCAGATGACACAACCCTGCTTGCTGAAACTGAGGAGGACCTGAAGCACCTGCTGCAGAGGGTCAAGGACTGCA